GCCCTGGACCTGGGTAAGTAGGCGCGGTCGCTGGGCCGCCTACCTGCGCACCTGTTGAGCGGCAGGGCTGGGGCGGGACGGCTTTGTTCGGGCTCCGGGGATCTTTCGCTTCCTGAAGATTGTGAGGCGGGGAGCTGAGGCCAGGTGCACCCGGGGGGTATCTTTTCCAGGACCTCTGCGGCCTTGCTGAGCCGCCCTTTAAGGCCAAGGCCGTCTTTCACCCCATCTCAGCTGTAGAGGAGTGGGAGGATGGCCAGGGGTTTTCACCCGTCCTGCAGCGAAATGTAGAGAGCTCACACCCTCGGGGAGCAGCGCAGACCAGAGAGCCTTGTCATGGGGCGGGTTTCAGCTGGTGAACCCAGGAAGGATGCTCTTTCACTCTGCTGTTTGTATGATTCTGACCTCCTTCCTCTCTCAAGGCGATTTGATGTTGTTCTGGTGTCATTAGTTTTTTAGGTAGTTATATACCGACTAGCCCGTGTGGTTTATTTTTTAAGGTTATTATTTTTTTTTCAAACTAAAGTCTGTGACCAGTACCAGGCTCTCTCTTCGCCCTCCTGTTAAGAGGATGTAATTTAAAGGAAGCCCAAACTTCTGTCACGGTCATTGTGTTTGATTCCGAATGGATGTGATCTGTTAACAGTTGTTTTCGGTGGAGAACTGTGTGTGGGTAGAGGGTGATTTACTTTCTGAATTCTGTTAGCTGATTTTGAAACAGACTTTAAAAAAACATTTTTTGAATCGAAGTCCAGTCAGTTACAGTGTGTCAGTTTCTGGTGCACAGCACAATGTCCAGGTCCTGCATATACATACGTATATTCGTTTTCATATGCTTTTTCATTAAAGATTGTTACAAGATATTGAATAGAGTTCCCTGTGCTGTACAGAAGAAACTTGTTTTTTAAATCTGTTTTTATATATAGTGGCTAACATTTGCAAATATCAAACTCCCAAATGTATCCCTATCCACACTCTTTCCGAGGTAATCATGATTGTTTACTATGTCTGCAAATCTGTGTTTTGTAGATGAGTTCAAAGTGTCCTTTTTTTCCTTTTAAAGATTGCGCATGTGAGTGATATATGGTATTTTTCTTTCTCTTTCTGTCTTCACTGAGAATGACAATCAAAGGGAACCCTCCTACACTGCTGGTGGGAATGTAGTTTGGTGCAGCCATTATGGAAAACAGTATGGAGATTCCTCAAAAAACTAAAAATAGACTTACAATATGATCCCGCTTCTGGGTATATATCTGGAGTGAACTCTAATTTGAAAAGATGTATGCATCCCAGGGTTCATAGCAGCACTGTTAACAATAGCCAAGACATGGAAGCAACCTAAATGTCCATTGACAATGACTGGATAAAGAAATTGTGATGTATTTATACAATGGAATACTACTCAGCCATAAAGAAGAATAAAATAATGCTATTTGCAGCAACATGGATGGACCTAGAGATCATCATTCTAAGTGAAATGGTTTTAAATCACTACTCAAGAAGACTTGATTTAATCTTTTATTACTAAAAGTCTTCTTGTGTGCTGTGTCAATATGCATTTTACTCTAAACTAGGGGTAAGGTTTTTTCTTTTGGAAGGCACACCTGTATCCAAATTGGGAGCTTCTCTGCTGGAATAGAGCAGATAAATTGCTTTATGTAACAAATAATTGTACCATTTTTGAAACCATCATATCCATACTATGTATTTTTGAGTTTTCAGTTATCTTATTTACATATATATGGTATAAAGCAGTACTGTAGAGTAGAAATATTGTCTAAGCCACATATGTAAATTTAATTTTTTTAATTCATTTTAAAAAGGTAAAAAGAAAGCAGGTGAAACTCATTTAAAATATTTTTAACCCTAAGCAACCAAAATACTATTTCAGCATATCTTCAATGTAAAAAAGAAAAATCCAGATTGTACTTTTTAACTAAATCTTAGAAATTCATTGTGTATTTTTCATTTACTTCCACCCCAATCCAAACACGAAATTTTCTTCAAAAATACTTCCTCGGTGTTTAGATTTCATAAAATTCAGCATTGAAAAAGTAGATTCTCATATCGAAGTTGTTGCAAATTACTTAAGTTTCCCACTATCTGAAGAGTATTGGTGTTTAAAATTTCTGTTCGTTAAAATTTTAAAAACTGAACAACTCAGTTCCTTTGTTGCACTAGCCCCATCTCCTGTTGTCACTAGCCACCAGTGTCTAGTGGCTACTGTTTTAGACAAAACAAGTTGGAGAACAATTTAGAACTAAATTTAGAGAGCAATTGTTGGAAATGTGAAAGCTCACAATACCAACTGTTGGAGAAGTTGTAGAAAATGAGAGCTATTTGTATGCTGCTGATGGGCCTGCAAATTATACCACTGGAACATTGTTTAGCAGTATCTGAAAATGTTAAATACCTTTGGCCAAGCAGTTGCAAAGAGATGTGTGCATGTGTGCACTGAAAGAATGCACAACGGTGTATCAAGAGAGTATATACGTTGTTAGAGATAGCCCTGGAGTGGAACCCACATGTCCAATTAGAACAGAATGAATGAATTAAATATATCATGGTGTCTTTATGGAATATTGCATAGAAAGAAAATAAGCCAGCTGCAGTTATATGCTAGTGTGGGTGAATCACATACATAATGTTAAATGAAAGAAGCCAGACTCAAAAGCACTTTTAATATATGATTATATTTATCTGTAAGTCCAGACAGGCAAAATTACTATGGCGTGTTAGAAGCAGGTAAGGGTGGTGGGTACCTTTGGGGAAGAAAAAGGGG